AGCCGGAGAAGGGCAAGTTTGGCAAAGGTAAACTTGGCAAAGGGAAGCTTAGCAAAGACAAGTTTGGCAAAGGCAAGTTTGGTGGCTGGGACAGTGATGTCTCAGAGGATGATATCGACGACTTCATAAATCGATTTAATCAAGAGTTTGGTGTTACCAAGGGCAAAGGTCTAGGCGAAGGGGAGTCTGTCCAAAGCCTGAAGAAGGGCAAACCTGGTCCCGGCAAGAAGGGCATCAAAGGAAAGCCCACGCTACAGGGAAAGCCTGGTGATAGGCAAAGCCCGGAGGAGATTAAGGCCATGTTGGACGAGTTCTGCACTTGGGAGGACGTTCTCATGGTGGTTGACAGAGATGGCACGCCTCTACGCTATGCTGACGAGCAGGTTGCCAAGTGGGAGGAAGAAGATAGGATGGCATTGGAGAAGGGCAAGTTCGGCAAGGGCTTCAAAGGGAAAGGAAAAGGAAAGGGTAAGTTTGTCAAAGGCAAAAGCATCTTGCCCTTGTCATGGACAGTTCTCGTTTTTTTGGCCAAGTGAACAAAACTGCTGCTTCGAGCAGCGAGATCTAAGGCAACCAGAGCTTGGAGGACTTGGAGAACGGTCCAGACTCCGAGGAGAGCAGCGCTGTTTGCGGGGACCAGGCATTTGGGCACAGTGTCGAGTCGAGTAGCCATCAGCACATGTCGCTATTCTAATATGCTGCTCTTGCTGTTGCCAAGGATTTCTACGCATTTCTTGCCTTCCTTTTATTGCTGGTTTTGCGACGGCCATGAGTCGTTACATGTTGAGGCTGCTGTAGGGATATCATACCGAGGAGTGGTACTAAAGATCATACCGTATCGCATGTTATTCCGCTCTACCCAGGCCCCTGGGAGGAGCTAGAAAGCACTGAGGGTGTCTGTTCTGATGGGGGTTTAGGGTTTAAGGTTTGACCCCAGTAAACTACACTCCTTAGTCTATGCATTCCCATAAAGGGGCCCCCAAATTTTTGGAGCTCCATACATTTGTTAGACGATGCTAAAAACACCATGATGCAGGCAAGATCAGGTGCTGCAATGGAGCTAGGAGTTCGATGCAGGTCTTTTTTGAGAACCCTGAACCCTAAAGATTCCCAAGGAGGTTATATAGGGGATTATACGAGGTTATTTAGGGGATTATATAGGGTGGTTATATAGGGGATTTTATAGGGTGAAGCATGCCGTGAAACGGGCTGATAGGAAAGAACGACAGGAGCTGTATGAAAGCTGCTGTCAGGAGGTGACACTGCACATGACGGACGGCTCAGAACACCGCCAGACGATTGCCAGGCACGTGGAGTATTTGAAGCACTGAAGCAAAGCAAGCCCAGTTTAGGATTCACAGTTTAGGGTTAGGGTTTAAGCACGGCTAGTAGCCTTGCCTGAGCAGCCCAAGCAGAAATCATGTTCATTTGTAGATGAACCTACGCCAGGCAATGTGCTTGGGCCGGATAGGCGAAGAAAGGTGGCCATGTTCATGACCCTGTATATCCCTATATCCCTATATCCTTATATACACAAACCCTATATAACCCTATAAAATCCCCTATATAACCACCCTATATAATCCCCTATATAACCCTATATAATCCCCTATATGACTTAGGTTGGGCCCCCACCCACTAATAGTGACCCCAAAAGGTAATGGTAATTATATTCGGGTCCTTATATACTCCTAATATACCACTATTAGTACCCTAAACCCTAAGCCCTAAACCGCGTAGTGGGTGGGGGCCCAACCCAATATATAACCC